ACAATATAATATATCAAATCAGCTCCAAAGGATAAGTCTTAATAGTTTTTTGCAATGAATATGCAACATGTTTTGAGTTATCCACAAAGAACATTTTTCCTCAATTACATTCAATCAAAACAGGATATGCTTAATGAACAATGTTTTAGCTCGATGATGGCATATTTGAAGAGCCTGTCTAAGGAGTTACAAGTTAAAAAATGAAGCAGGCAATGATGTTTATTAATATAAATTATGCCATTGCCTGCTAATCATGTTATATACCCTATATTGTTTTAGTATTCATCAGCAATAACAGGGGAGACCACAATAATGCAAAGGATAACAATGGCCAACGAACATTACAACAGCTTAGGATATGAACCTATCAAATTACGAAAAATCGTACTTTAAAGCAATCTCACAAAACGTCCCCTAAAGAAATATACATAAAGAAGAAAAACATTGATGCATGAAAATATTTGTCAATAGAGCAAGTCAAAAAATTCTCATTCATTCAACGTCAAATATTGCAATACATTACCCATTGTGTAATTATTATGAATATAGTTCAGACTTACAAAAGGTACTAGTATGCAATATGAATTAAAGTAGAAACATGCAGGGTTGGAGGGAAACGGTTCATGATTTTGTAGACGTGTGATTGATTGTAGATATCTAAATACAAGTGAACTTTCCCATGACTAGGAGTGTAAATTCAGGATCCCAGGGTGACGAGAACAAAGTCCTTGTATGCTCGATTGCCCAAAGAGAAACAACGATGACAGGGTTGTGGTCTAGTAGAGACGATCTAGGTTTCAAGAGTAAGATGGTGCCCACGATAATGACAGGGTGGCGTGACTAGCGAGCTACCTTCTATTATCTCCCTGTCCCAAGGGCCTTGGGGTAAGCGGTCAGTCAAGCCATCTGGTTTTCTTTAGATTATCCACACACTCACCGTTGAATTAATCACTGGGATAACGGGTCTAAGAATGCTGATTGCTCGATGGTAATTATCTCTCTCAGAAGTATCCCGTTCATCCTTAAAATCCCATGAATCATCTAGACATTTGGAGTTTGTATGGTCAAAAATGCATCATTTCAATTCAAGTTAATTTATATGTAAATTCGTTGATGATAGTAATTAAGGAAAATTATTAAACACCAGTGGAGATAAGATTCAGAGGTTTGTCAAAGGTCATCCCAAAAGTCCAAAGAGATTTATAATCGATATGTATGAGAGTAATGATGAGGTCCTCCTACTCATATTAATTGCCGAAATGAGACTCACTTTCGTCCTTGGTATTCTTGGCATGTTTATTTGACTACTTTTGAAACTCCTTTCGGACTTGGCTGCAATGGTCAATTACACACAATGAATACTCAACGTTTTATTTTTTATATACATTGGGACCTCACATGATAGCAATAGCCCATTGGTCTAGCATACGGTAGAACATTCCATGAAAATAATAACAAGTGAAACAGTACACTGGGTACAATTAATGAATTATCTGCAACAATATAATACATTTTAATTTAAAGTGTTTGAAATTCAATACCGAAAACTTTGGTTTTACAGTATGTCATACTAAAACCAAAAAAGCAGAGGACAGCACTGAACACCCATTTATTGTATTCAGTAATTATTTGTATTAATTCGAAACGATCTAAAGATAGACAAAAAATAAACAATTTGAATTCGTGTGAATAAACAGTTGTCATAATTGCAATTTTAATAGAATGATAATCCAAAGAAGTCAGTTGATTACTAAGGAGTTAAAGGTGAATTATCGTGCCATATCATATTTAAAATTATAGGAAATTGTTTTTATTATAATTATAGTTTAATAATATACTAGATGCCACTCATTTTAAAACCAGAATGCTACCTTGTAATATTTGCACCCAGTAGAAAAGGCGTTCAATAACATTTTTGAGATGATGCAAGCATCCATCCTTCTCGAGAAAAATATTAGAAGAGTTAAATAATTCAAATGTAATTAAATGATTGTAAATATGACCAGATTCACCAATTTTCACTAAAAGATTAATTGGAGTTGATGAAAAGAAGAGCGCTATATTCATGAAATATGTATTAAAACAACTTATCTTTAATAGATAACTCAACGCGATACTATACCATCGAAAAATTTGATAAATAACTTAAGTATATACCGAATATAGTATTGCCTTATTTCAATGTTACTTCTCTCAAATACGCCAGTTCAATGTAACACATATACGACAGTACATCTGTAATTAACACATGGTTTTGCCCTGGAGACGAGTCTTCGTTACTTCACAATAAATCTTGTAAATATAGACCTTACATACCAATACATATAGCTGAACAGCATGTTACAACGTTCTTCATGTATTCATAAAATAGGCCACATAAATGTCAATTTAATAACGGGTCGGTCGTTGACACCCTTTAAATATAACAAACGATTAAAATGTTATTATGTTAGTAATAATTAAGTGAAATGGTTAAATAAGTGAGCGAGTTTGGTGAATTTATCACCGATCCAGTTTGTCCAGAAGGTGGATCATTATCGAACCATGAACTCTTGGAGCTGATTAGTTACATCGAGGCTTGATTTTATCCATTTCTTTTCCAATCCGAATAAAATGGCTCAACAAACAAATTAAATGCTCGTTATGTAAAGAAGGATTGATGCTATTTAAAGCAAGATTGACTAAATTGCATTTTCATTGTAGGGACAAACAGGAACAGCATTGTATCAATACCTCCGTTCTTTTTAGTAACCATGTTTCGATGGATGAACACAGATGCCAGTTCAATTTAAATGTTATCACTGTTTTATCTTTTAATTTCCGTACGAATTGGCCAGGCCAATTTTTCATATGCATTTGTAAAGAATAGACGGGAGATAATTAATCTCTGTCTTTGCTTTGATTAATTGCTGCATATGCCACTAGCTGTGGACGCGATGAGAAAGTAAAATTGGAACCTGGGTTAAAAGTGAACAAATATAGCCTTTAACGAGACCAAAAAATAGATCAACATCTGCGTTGCTTTATTAGACATATTCTGAAAACGTAAATCTTTAGTTATGGTTCGGGATTCTTTTGCATTTGGGTCAATTTAGTTGAATATATTTAATATCTTGATTCATACACAAGCTAGCAATATTGGGGTTTTTGTGGCCATTTAGTACAGGTTGTATGTAGGAAATATTGGTTTCAATATATAGGTGGAGAGAGAGAGCATGAGGATATATATATTGAGTTCTATGGGACAGGGTCTTGATTTGTCTCAGACCAATCATAACTCTGCTCTTTGATGACGTTGAGAAAACAAAATGGCCGTCTAGATGGAAAACTCCATTTGAAATAACTGTAAATGCACGTTTATCAAACACTGTATAATCACAAATAAACAAAATAGTTTGGTATGATTCACATGTATATGAATATAGAAATTGGTTTATTGAACAACGTTTCAATAACATTAAACTCGATACTGTTCCTTTTTTTCCAATCAAGTCCATTCTATGAAGTCTGGGTCACGATGTACATACATGAGCTCAATTCACCAAGTGACATCTTTTGTACATCTAGATGATTCAAAATAGAATATAGATATAGAAATTCAATTGATTCATAATCAAACTATGTGGAAAACGCTGCCCATCAGACTTGATGTTCCACTTCCACTGTAACACAATGTCCATCAGACAAGACACAACGCCGTGCATATCGATCGTCTTCCGTGTCTGGATAACCTATAATCGTACCGGGCCCTGGATTCCATGTCTGGTGCCATATTTCACGTGTATATGTCGAATCGTAAGAATTTCCATGCACACTGTAGAATGGCTTGTGGTTCTAAACTTCAGCACAAGCTCGGTTCTACAGGGTACAAGAGAATCCCACATTTTCTTCCAACTATTTCGTCGATTTTTCTAACATTTTCAACCGTCTGCCACACCTGACCGCCATCTTGATTTTTATGCATCCGTACTCAGTGCGCAGACGCGAAGATGATTTGTTTGTGACTCGCTATAAGCTGTAGACAACATTTGCTTTAGAATTTCCTTTCAATAAATCTGTCATGATTCGAGTTTTTTTTATAAAAATCCATTAAAACACGGTTCACGTTATTTCAAACAGACAAAAGCAATACGTTAAACTTGGATGCCCTAAATTTTATTCATATGCTATGTTGCGTCATAAACAGTTCTATCCGCCATTTTGTACTTTTACTGTTGCAAATATTTTTTAACTTCTAAATTTGTTGAAAAGATTCTAAAATATTTTTGGACTTAGAATGATGTTTGAAAAGGTGTTTAAAGACCCCATGATATTACCCCGAGCGTTCTGTAGGCCACCAGAGCTAACAGTCGCTTAATGTCTCCATTGAAATTTGACAAAGCATGGAACATCAAAGTCTTTAGAAAAATTTAAATATTAATGCTTTATTACAATGACGTTTCAGTTTTATATCTCCATATTGTACTTTGGTATTGTATTGCATGATTTCTTCATGGGCATTATATTCTAAATGTTCTGCATTGTCTTGTGAGACAAACGGATTTGACACACTCTAGTAAGGTAAGCCATTCTCGCTTCCAAATTTAAAAAATATTATATTTTTTTTGCTCAGAAGTATTGACTATTGAATACTGTAGGAGATTGGTGGTCTCACTGTGGGATTCATTTCACGCCTATATAGTTTTCGTTGATCACTTTCGCTTCATGTACCACCCACGAAGTGACCAGTTTCACAGGAGTTGGAATTCTCACCTGACTTACAGTCTGACCACAACATCGTACTTCAGATATATTTTGGAAAAACAAGTTATTATACAAGGATATTCGTATAAATACAATTCCTAATATTTTAGTTGTCAGAAGGTTTAGCATGCATGTTTAATCCAGCGATTAAATTGGATTAAACGAAGTTTATTGAGTTGCATTAACTTCTATCTCATTCAAGGTTGGTTACATCTGGTAGATATGAACAGTTTTAGAATTATAAATACTTTCTCATATAATAAACTTAAAATAACGGTTACATTCCAGAAAGGTCATCATTAAATGGTGTCATGCTATTAACGTAAGAAGAGTCTATCTGTTTCCAGTAATTTACTTAAGTGGTTTCATTTGCTGAGGGGACAGTTGTCTCAAATTGCATCGTAGGAAAAAGGAAAACATTATGACTAATACGATTTGCCAGTTGTGAGGTGACCACATTATGACCTGTGGAGCCTGTGGGTATAGAGGAAAAAATATTCAACTTACCCCAGATACTCAGTTGAGTGGTTTCTTGGTTGTAAATAATTACACTGTATTAAGTGTTCTATATATTTATTTTATAATCCACATTCACGACGATAACAACATCAAAATGACAAAATGACGTATCCCTCTCCAATGGGCGTGTGTTGTTTGTCCAGCTATTATTGTCCAGTGTGAAAACTTACAATACAATCATCTAAAGCTCTACATTATAAATAATGTAGCACATTTTGGATAGACTCCGTATTCTATATATAATCTAAACTAATAGCCATCCCATCGAATAGAAAACATTAACATACACACAAAATATGCTTTTTTCTTTTACCAGTATGCATCAACGAGTGAAAAATGGCAAAGGCGTCATTTACAACTTTATAATTTTCATCATGATCTAAGCACTAAGCTCTCATGGGAATCACTAAAAAGTGATAAAATGTTATGAATGTGATTGCTCATGGAAGCATGAACAATTAGATTTTGACAATGAACTCCTGTCATGGTATACTTGATCGTATTGCAAAATCCTCTGAGATTTAATCAATATGATTATATTTAAAGTGTATGTTCAGATCTTGGATGGTCTATATAACATGTAACAATACAATGTGCAGTATCAGTGACTGTCTCTTGTTGATGGTTCCTCCAAAACCAAGTTGGTCTTTTGAGGTCAAGTATGATGATGTGTACCCTTTTTACCGTCTTTACCCTTACTTTTAGTTCATGGCACTATAGCTTGTCCATACCCTTTGGATACTTTACCCTTTAAATTAAAAATTTACCCTTTCAGATGATCACATGTATATGTGTTATACATATACCATTCTCGTTCATGACCTAGTGTCATCCTGTCTGTACAGAGCAATCCAAATGGATCCAAGATAGTGCTATTTGCAATCTGAAATATACAATGTACACGCAGTTTCCCTTAGATGGTTCCTTGGTTTATATACAATATGTACATCCATTCATAATGTATCAGGTGTTGTTGGCTTGTCTCCATCATCGTCCTCCTTTTCCTTTTTCAACTCGTCATCATCTTCCGTGGGACTACTGGGAGACGGTGGTTCGGACTTTTCGTCGGACTCAGGTGACTTAAGTGCTTCGATCTGTTTGTTTTCCTTTTTCCATTTCATTCTTCTGTTTTGAAACCATATCTTAATCTGTCTCTCTGTCAGACATAACGAATGGGCGATTTCTATTCTCCTACGTCTTGTAAGGTATTTGTTGAAATGGAACTCTTTTTCTAGTTCTAGAGTTTGGAACCGAGTGTAAGTTTGACGACCTCGTTTTCTGTCTGGGCCTACAAGTACACATGAAAAATGACATTACATTTTTGTAAAAACTGATTAAAACAATGCTTGATATTTTCGGAGTTTGGGTTCTGAACAATGGGATTAAAAAGCATTTAAGGTTAACATGATAAGAAACAATGTATGCATGCACAGTGTGTATGTGGTTAGGCACAGTGTGTGCAAGGCAGGGGATGTTCACACTTGGATGATATAAAACACTGCCTAGATAATTAACACTTGAATTGAGATGACTCATATTAATCCGAACATCGGGGTATCTACTGTTCAGGCTTCAGAGTATGAACACACTAAATATGTAATAGATTGCATTTTGTGTTTTCAAAATATGTTTAATGTTATAACCATGACACTGATGAAAGATAGCTTCAAAAATAACAAGTTGATGTACAATTTCCATATTATATGAATATACTGCTTTATCAACAACTCAAGCTCGTTGTCGAGGGTCTGCTATGACACAGTATTAACACAACAGATGCATTAGGTGATGGTAGATTGCTTCATGCTTTTAAAAAGCACTGTTTTATTGAGACAGATTACATGACTTGATTTTGTCTGCTGGGGTTTATCCACAGTTCCCCCGTGTTTCACATGCAAACTTTTTTAGTTTAACAAACGCAAAGGTGTTTATTATGTAAAATGTGAAAAATAGATGCAAGGTTGCTTAAACAAGCACAGTTCAAACATGGCCTGACTATCTGCCTGGTGTCATTAATATACTATGACAGTATTTGTATCACGATCCATTTCACGCCTGTTTAACATGTCCATCAACTAGCGAGCGTGACGGACACGACAATACCCAGACATACAAAGTGGTCCATGAACTAAATTTTACTTGCTTGGTACCATTCTATTCTTTTCAAATATTTTCCTAATAAACATCTGCATTAATATTATCATTTACATACACATTATTGTACTAATGTCTATTTTTCATGTAATTGTCAACCGTTATCGTTGTGCGTTTTTTGCAATATAAACTTCTTTAAATGTATTTTAATATATTACTGTATTTTAGCTCTTCTCATTATGAAGTTGTTGGAGGTTTGAACGTGGTTATTGGAAACACTGGATTATCACACAATATTAACAGTTTATTATTCCTAATCAACCCTAATCTAACAAAAACATCAAATCATGACACTGCAAAAGCTTTGGTATGTAAGGCAATCGTTGGTCTTATTGTATACTTTCCTTTGCTTGAATCGTATGTTTTTGAGGATATCATCGTTATTATTCAGTTGTTGTATTGAAATCTGATATATTTTATATTTTTTAGCACTTCGTTGGTGTTGCCTTCATACTTTCGCAATCTATAATAGTTAATACATAATTTTAACTGAATCTCTATGGGTATTTTAAGATATTGAATATTTTTTTACAACAATTGCGATGATCGTTATACTCGTAAGGTAAAACATAGTTTAAAAAATTAAAGAGGGCAATGCGATCCGGTTAGAAAACAAACCCACGCCATCACAAAGTAAAATCTACTTAAAAATAGACTCTGTAAACTCAGAATTGAGTTTTTAGAAACACCTATGTTCCCCTTCAGCAACTGGAGTATGAACAGCATGATAATTTATATAACATCAAATCATAAATATGGTAATAAAATGTTCGAAAGTCACATGTAAAAGTAGTTTGCGAATGTCAAACATATGATGATGCTTAAGTACCCCTCAATTCATAGACAAGTAGGTCAAAAGAACAAGCCACGATTGGTTCCTAAGATGTCACCAAAAATATCAATTCTGAATTACCAATCACTGTAAAAATAGAAACCTAACATAGAATATTACAGAACATGTTGTAAATCCACACATACAAGTAGTTCTCGAATGTCCAACATATGACGATGCTTAAATGCCCACTGTTTCAAAGACAGGAATGTCTAAAGAGCGAGCCACAATTTGTTCACAAAAAACAATTCCACACCAAAAAGTTTCGAAAATATAAATTCTGATTTATCAATCACTGTAAAAGTGAAAACCTTACATAGAATATAACAAAGCATGTTCTAAATCACTCGATGATAGACAATCAGTGCACATAAAATATTTGTATTACGTTGACCTGGATGCTGTCTCACCTGGTGCTTCGCGTTTACACTTGCATGGAGAGATTTTTAAAAAGAAGTAGCTAAGATTGATAAATGCAATATTTGCATTATAATATGAAGCACTGGCAAGAGTTCCATCTTCAGAAATTCAATACTTAGATAGGGGTATTTCGTTAATAACACGGATTTAATCCATAAATCATGTCAAATATACAGAAGTATGACACAATTGCTTCGTTGGGCTGCTTTTGTATAATTTATCACAGACAACGAACAGTATTGTTCCTGCTATAAAAAGAAACTTAAAATACGTGAGGTGGTTCGTATCAAGTTTAATAGATGTAGAAGTTAGTTTGTCGGGTAATGACATTCACACGAAAGTCAACCCAAAATGCTATCTATTAAACCAGAAACTCATTTAGCATCAGTCAGATTTTGAAAAATTACTAGCCATTAGTAGACATTTTTTTCTTCCAAAGATTCATTGTGACATGGAGAATTTTAATCACGCTGAGTTCGGACGCAAGCCACACATACACTTAGGATGAATAACATTTTGTTTATCAGCTGTGTAGGGAAATCGGGGGTAGCTGCTAGACATGATGGCATCCAGGCCAACGTTTCTTGTGAGATACTTTCCCTTTCCACGGATAATTGTTCCTTGTATATGTTGCCATTATTCAGCCCCGATAGAGTATTGATAGACAAGAAAAAGATGTTCATTGTATTAATGTAAAGTAGGGGATACAACAAGACGAAGCATTATATTCTTATCACCCTTCATGAGTCAAATATTCATGTATTATTTATGTCCTTTTGGATGTTATATCAGGTGAAAAGGGGAAAGGCCAACAGTATTACAAAAACAGCAAGAAAAAAAAAACATATAGGGGGAAAACATGGGGAAAAGATCCCCAATATCTGAAACTATTAACTAACACTCAATATTACAATGTCTAACACTTCTTATCCCAACCCTCAGGAATCATCAATGCGATCCGAAAGCAGAAGATAGAACACAAGATAGAACGTTTATTCTCATCAAATGATGGAGGTCAGACAAAATCTAGCGTACCATAAGACAATGAATTAATACATTTTAAACTCCATTTCGTTCCCTTTTTGGCAATCACATTAGACAAACGTACATTTCAACAAATCAAAAAACAAGGATGAATTAATTCCTAGCCAATGAGTAAAGGTAAACAGTCATCCGAACCATTTAGCAACTCATTGTCATATTTTGGGGGAAGTTTCATCAAAAACAGTGTTTTATGAGACTAAAGTGTGATTCGTTCTTGCCAGTATACAGGTTTGCAGCGATATCAACTGTGAAAAAACAAGATACAATTATATTTTTTGCTGATAGGCTTTATATCGATCATTGCTAAGCGTAATTAATAAGGATGAAAAATGAAGCATCGTTAATCAAGTTTAATACAGTGTGTATTTCAAAAGCATAAAATCAACTTAATCGGTTTAATTTGCAAATATCTAATGCAATCAAGCGAATAGTTTGCTTTCACAATCCTTATGATTTAACTGAACAAAACTCATCTTAAGCCAATATCTGTAAAGATAATTGAATTTTCATTTGCATTTTCATTTCCAATTCAAATTGTTTGATCTTGCAATTATTATGTTTAACGAACGATGAGATAAAGTTCTGTTTTGTACACAAATATACATACGATTATGTACAAGGCCCCTTGAAAATCTTCATAAATATATAAAAAATGGATAGATAAGAATATGGTGAAAATACATTGTATATTTTAATTCCTATTTTATTAAAATTGACAATGGCTAGTACAATATCAATTGAGAAGCAGAGATGGCAGATGTATCAATACAAGCGAGACGTCCTTGATCGGTTGATATTACAAATGAAAGATTGTACTAAATAAATACGTGCATCGTAAAACTCTATATAGATGTCACTGTTATATATGGCTTTTAAGGTCAATCGATTGAGGTCAATTCCAATTAAACTATTTCGATCAATAAAATAACACTATGTGTAACATTGTAATCTATATTAAACGATAAAAACACTTTTATCAACCAACTTCTGCACTATCATAAAAAACAAATAGGACAAAATTAAAAAACGAATTTCAACAAAATAAGTCCCTATCGGTTCGGTTTATAATTAAAATAAAAAGGTTTGGTCGAGTGAAAAAATGGTCGTTTGTATTGTTGTGTATGCATTTCTAGTATAAGTGTTTTCTTATGGACATTGGAAACCCTTGACAAGTTATCGCCAGGATAATGAATGTTTGTGAAACTTATATCTAGTTTAACTATTCAACGTGTAATTGCTCCTGGATGTGCATCATTTGCAGCAAAAAGTGACACTAATAGCCAAAATAAAGTCCTTAAAATACAAAATATGCTTTTTTTTACTTTGCGATGGATTTTCATTTTGGTCAACACACAGTTAGGGAAGGGAATATATTACATAAATGCGTAATATGAAAATCAGTAAAATGGGACGTTTCATACACTATGTGGTAGGAATGAAAACAACTACTACATATAATACGTGTATATTTGTCATATTATACATCTACTTTGGCTGCTTTTGTTTATTTGAGGGAAAATTTGCAATTTACGTAATCGACCTAAAGGCATCTGGCATTTTTGATATGGATTGATATAGTTGCACAACGACCAATTTACTCAGGATTGACAAACTGTCATACAAACATTGATGGCTTTACATAAGTAGAAGATTGGATTTCCATGATATATGAGCACAAATAAAAAACTGCCACCGTTCTCAAGGACATAGTTAGCTTGCATTTGAAAATTATTTCAAATACAATACAATATGAAATGCTATCGTGTATAACTACAATCAGTTACAAAAATATCCGATACGGAACGCTGGACATTTAACTATTTTATATTATTACCACC